CAGGTTTGTGGCAACTGTGCCTTGACCAACTCTTTTGTCTCTATTTTCCCAATAGCATTTGCTCATCTTGCGTCTCTTGTGTCACATTTTGGTAATTCTAGCAATATTTCAAACTTCGTCATTATTATATTTGTTATGGTTATCTGTGATCAATGATCTTTCATGTTACTATTATGATGCCCATATAAGATGCAAACTTAATTGATAAATTTTGTATATTTTCTGACCACTCCATTGACTGGCTGGTTCCCCAGTCTCTATGCCTTTCCCCAGGCCTCCCTAGTCCCTGGAACACAACAATATTGAAATTAGGCCAATTAGGAACCCTATAATGGTGTCTACATATTCAGGTAAAAGGAAGAGTCACACATCTCTAGAAATGATTGAGCTTAGTGAAGAAGGCATGTTGAAAGTCAAGACTGGCTGAAAGCTAGGCCTCTCGCACCAAACAGCCAAGTTATGGATGCCAAGGAAAAGTTCTTGAAAGAAGTTAAGACAGCTTCTCCAGTGAACATGCAAACGACAGAAAAGCAGAACAGTCTTACTGCTGACGTGGAGAAAGTCTGAGTGGTCTGGATAGAAGATCAAACCAGCCACAACATTCCCTTAAGCCAAAGCTTGATCCAGAGCAAGGCCCTACCTCCCTTTAATTCTCTGAAGGCTGGGAGAAGTGAGGAAGCTGCAGAAGAAAAGCTAGAAGCTAGCACAGGTTGCTTCATGAGGTTTAAGGAAAGAAGCTGTCCCCGTTAACAGAAGGGTGCAAGGTGAAGCAGCAAGTCCTGATGTGGAAGCTCTAGCAAGTTATTCAGAAGATCTAGCTCAGAGAGTCAATGAAGGCGGCTGCACTAAACAACAGAGTTTCAACGTAGATGAAAAAGCCTTCTATTGGAAGGTTTGCATAACTAGAGAGAAAGTCAATTCCCGGTTTCAAAGCTTTAAGAGACAAATTGACCCTCTTGTTAGGGGCTAATGCAGCTGGTGACTTGAAGTTGAAGCCAACACTCATTTACCATTCCCCAAATCCTATGGCCCTTAAGAATTATGCTGTATCCTTTGCTTATGCTCTTATCAGTGGAATAGCAAAGACTGGATGATAACATCTGTTTATAGCATGTTTGCTGAATATTTTTGGCCCACTGTTGAGATCTACTGCTCAGAAAAAAAGATTCCTTTCACCATATCACTGGTCATTGACAATGCACCTAGTAACCCAAGAACCCAAGATGGAGGTGGACAATGAGATCAATGTTTTCATGCCTGCTAAGCCAATATCCATTCTGCAGCCCATGGGCCAAGGAGTCACTTTTATTTCCCAATCTTATTATTTAAGATATACATTTCATAAGGCTGTAGCTGCCGTAGTTAGGTTGATTCCTCTGATGGACCTGGGCAAAGTAAATTGAAAACCTTCTGGAAGAAATTCACCATCCTAGATGCCATTAAGAGCATTCAAAACTCATGAGAAGAGGTCAAACTGTCAACATTAACAGGAGTCTGGAAGAAGCAGATTCCAACCCTCATGGATACTTTGAGGGTTCAGAACTTCAGTGGAAGAAGTAACTACAGATGTGGGAATAGCAAGAGAACTAGAATTAGAAGCCGAGCCTGAGAATTGCTGCAATCTTATGATCCAACTTGAACTGATGAGAAGTCGCTTATTATGGCTGCACAAAGAAAGTGGTTCCTTGAGATGGGATCTCCTCCTGATGAAGATGCTGTGAAGATTGTTGAAGTGACAACAAAGGAACGTAAACGTAGTTGATGAAGCACGGCAGGGATTGAGAGGATTAACTCCAGTCTGGAAAGAAGTTCTACTGCGGGTAAAATGCTATCAAACAGCACTGCACGCTATAGAGAAATCATTTGTGGAAGGAAAAGTCAAGTAATGTGGCAAATTTCATTGTCTTATTTTAAGTCGTTGCCACAGCCACCCCAGCCTTCGGCAACCACCACCCTGAGGAGTCAGCAGCCATTGATATGGAGGCAATACCCTCCACCAGCATACAGATTACAACCTACTGAAACTTCGCATGATTGTTAGCACTTTTTTAGCGGTAAAGTATTTTTTAATGAAGATAGATACATTGTTTTTTAGACATACGGCTAGTGCACACTTAACAGCCGGCAGTAGAGTGTAAACATGACTTTTATATGCTCTGAAAACCAAAAAATTCATTTGACTCACTTCATTGTAATATTTGCTTTACTGCGGTGGTCTGGAACCAAACCTATATCTCTTAGGTATGACTATCTAAATGGCACTTAGAGAAAAACTTGGTAATAATAAAGAGCTTCTATATTAGCCATTATCATCATTTTTGATTTTTAAAGATTTTATTTATTTGACAGAGAGATAGAGAGAGCCAGAGAGCATAAGCAGAAGGAATGGCAGGGGGAGAGGGAGAAGCAGGCTCCCCGCTGAGCAGGGAGCCCGACGTGGGGCTCCATCCCAGAACTCCTGGCCTGAGCCAAAGGCAGACGCTTAACCAACTGAGCCACCCAAGTGCCCCTGCTGTTTTCATCTTTATTACTATTGTTATTATATTCTTCATTGACTCAATGCCCATGTAACAGTGATGCATGTAGCTGCAGTTTATTTATTGCCACTGACATATAGTATTCCACTATATATATATATATATACATATATGTATATGTGTATATATAGTAATTATTGTGTTCATTTTAATGCTGATGGACATTGGGAAGCAATCTGTTTGCAGATTTTAGCTAACCCATTTTTAGCACACCCATTACCAGTAATGGGTATTACTGGTAGGACTACTTCTGTACAGGTCCTATTGCATAAGAGCAAGAGTTGTTCTAGGATTTTAGGGTATATTCCCAAGAGAATTGCTAGGTCATAGGATATGTGCACATTCAGCTTTACTAGGTAATGTGAAATAATTTTCGGAAGTGATTATAGCAAATTACCCTCCCACTAGAGTGGGTATGAGTTGCTTCATATCTTTACTGATACTTGAAATTGTTTTGCCAATCCCTGGTGTGAAATGCTATCTCTTTTTGGTTTTTATTTCATTGCCTTGATTATAAGTGAGATTGATTCATAGGAGCTGTTTACACATTCTGGATAGTAATCCTTACGTGTCACTTATGTTGCAATTGTCCTTTCCTAATTTGTGGCTTGTTTCTCAGATTGTTTGTGATATCTTTTGATGAGCAGAAGTTCTTAATTTTAATGTGGCTGAATTTATTAAGTTTTGCTTTGCGGTTACGTGATGGTGATTTTATATGTCAACTTGACTGGGCCGTGGGATGTCCCAATACAGACTTTCCTACCAAAAGTGGTTCTAGAAGAATAGAATTTTAAGGATGAGTTTCCTGAATTGGTTCCGGTAAAAATTCAAGTTTTCTTAAATTGGTTTCTAGAACTGGCTCTCTAATCTGATTGGATTTAAAGATGATAATGCCTCTATTTCTAGCAGTAAAGAGAGTACTGGTAGTTCATGGCATAATCTGTCAATATAGATCTCAAAATAGCACCATTGGATGCTCCTAATCAAACACTTGTAAAAAGCAAGAAGCTGAGTGACTGTGTACATAAAGCTTTCAAACATTTTTGTCAAACTAATGAATAGGACAAGATTGGCTCATTGTCCCTAATGTCACCAGATAAAGTAGTGAAAAAAAAAAAAGAGCTCAGATATTTGAAGTCTCAGTTCAAGAAGCACATAAATTGCTTAAAGGCTTCTATGTGTGCCTTGAAAGAGACCCTTATTTCCTGTAGCCACAAAGCTGGGACTGCTGAAAGTCAAACCTATAATCTCATTTTGTAGCTGGCTGAATTATAACACAGGATGAAATCCCAGCTTTATAGGGAGTTCACTGTTAAAATGGGGGCAATTTTCACTAGAAGGCTGTATGCCCTGCATCAGCACCCAACGCATGACATTTTTCTCTTATAGTCAGGATTCATAGGTCCAGGGATGGTGAAAATCAGAGTGGAACCCCTTATTGTTATCCCTAGTGACCTATTTCCATGACCTTATTGGCCTATATGGCTTTATATGGCCTTCCATGCTCTGTTGGCCTATAGGATGAGTATGTCTGGAATACAGAGGTTCCCTAGAGTAACTCTTTGTATTATCTTGCCCTGTGATTAAGGTCAATGGAAAGGTACCACAACCCAATCTAGGTGTGACTACTCATGGCCCAGACCCTTCGGGGATAAAGGTTTGAGTCACCCCACCAGGTGAAGAACCATAACCAGTTGAGATGTTTGCTCTGAGGTCAAAGGGAATATGGGATGTGTAGTGGAAGAAAGTTGCTGTAAATACCAGCTACAACCATGTGTCCATTTACAGAAACAAAGACTGTAAGAGTATTCTCTCCTTATTTTCTTATGAAAATGTTTGTTTGTGTACTATATATGATACATTTATATATATATATGTATATATATGTGGTATTTTGTTTTTGTTCCCTGTCTTATTCCCTCATCATGTAACATAAGATATATTGACTCTTTATCATAGTATTTAAGCACCGTTAATTTTATATCATAATATTTAAGTCCTAGAGTATCAAGAAGAGTAAACATCTCTCACAGACTTTATCTCCTCTTCTGGGGAAGGGGTTAGTGTATTGTTGGTTGTAGGCAGGCCAGTTGAATTATGTTAAGTTGAATCATAACCTTGTTATTGTCTTTATTTGGAGATTAAGTACCATTTAAGGAGACGCGTATGGGTGCCAGACAAGGGGTGGACTTGTAACAGATGAGTTTATGTATCAGTTTGACTGGCAAAAGGGTGCCCAAATATTTGGCTGAGGATTACTCTGGGATGTTTTTGGACGGCATGAACATTTGAATAAGTAGACTGAGTAGATTGCCCTCCCTAATGTTAATGGAATTTATCTAATTAGTTGAAGGTTTGAATAGAACAGAAGGTTGGCGCTCACATATGAAGGAACTTCTGGCTATTGCCTTGAGGTGGCACATTGGTTCCTTCCTGCCCATCAACTTGAACTGAAACACTAGCTCTTTCTGGGTCTCAAGCGGACTGACATTCAGACTGGAACTTACATGAGCAGTTCTCCTGGGTATCCAGTTTGCTGATTGCAGATCTTGGAACTAGTTGGCCTTAATTAGGTGAGCCAATTCCTTATAATAAATCTCTCTTTGTGTACATACATCCTATCGGTTCTGTTTCTCTGGAGAACACTGGCTAATGCAGTTAGCCTTTGTTTTGTTTCAAGAAATTATTTGTTCTCTCAAGGTCTTGCAGAGAGTTTTCTATATTGTCTTCTAACAGTTTATAGTTTTTCCTTTAAAAAAAAACAAAAGATGTTAATCTGGCTCAAATAAATTTTGGTGAATGGTGGGAAGTATAGATCAAATTTCATTCTTTTCCATGTGATAACCAGTTTATCTAGAATCTCTATTGAAGAGTCGATCCTTTCTGCACTAATCTGCAAAGTATGCTCTTTCATGAATTAAATTTACTTCTAGTTGTTGGGACTGCTTCTGCATCCTATAACCCTTACTTTGGTCAGTTTGCCTATCTTGATTACTATAGTATTAGAGTAGAGCTGATAACTGCTTTGTTTTCCTTCCCTTTTATTTCTTCCATTAAGTACATTACATATTTTATTATTTATTTGTTAATTGTTTATCTCTTTTCATTAGAATTTAAGCTCAATGAGGGGATCCCTGGGTGACTCAGTGGTTTAGTGCCTGCTTTCAGCCCGGGGCATGATCCTGGAGTCCTGGGATCGAGTCCCGCATCGGGCTCCCTGCATGGAGCCTGCTTCTCTCTCTGCCTGTGTCTCTGCCTCTCTCTCTGTGCGTCTGTCATGAATAAATAAGTAAAATCATGAATAAATAAGTAAAATCTTAAAAAAAAGAATTTAAGCTCAACAAGGGCAAATACTTCCTATGCTTTATTAAGCTTTATATCCCCATAGTCCAGAAGAGTGCCTGAAACATAATAGGGACTCAATAATTGTTTGTTGACTGACTGATGTCAAAATTGTGCTAAAGATTTGACATACATTTCATCATTTAATTTTCTGAATAGTGCTTTGTTTATTCAATTAATATTGATTAAGTATTTATTGTTATATCCATCTCTCAGGTGGGAAAATTGAGGATTAAAGATGTTAAATGATTTATCTACAATCAAGAAGCTAGTGAGCAACAAAACTATTTGATTATATCTTATACCAGAGTGTTATTAAATATTTGACTTTTATTGTCATTTCATGGAAGTAATTCAGTATTATAGGATTCATTTATAAGACTTCACCCAAATTTACCAGAATGATGTGATCTCTAAAAGTTATGCATAATGTATCTTTAGAAACCATCCAATTATTTGAAGAAAGCTAGCTTATCAGAGCACAGCCTGAAGTATGACCAGAGAAACATAACCCATCATGCAAGTATTGGAGAACTGAAAAAGTAAAAAAGGGGAAATTGGGATGACAAAAAACAATAACAGAAAGACGGTTTGGGGGAACAAGAAAGGAAAATGGGCTCATCAGAAACGAGAAGGGACCGAGTGAGGTCAGTACTAAAGCCTTGGAGTTGCAGCGCTAACCCACCCACGGTGGGGTCTCGGGAGCTCGGAGCTGTCCCGTGGAACAGGGTTTCAGATCTCTGAGGGGATACAGTGAGGTGGTTTTTGCTGCAACACTGAAGACTGAACCCAGTTGCTGCCCCAGAGGAGGAGGCTGTCGCCGGGGTGATGCTGACGGGAACAGCGAGCAAACAAAGAAGAATAAGACCTTTGTCTTCCGCAGCCTTTCCGTCCCTTCCTGCCCTCACCGTCAGAAACTAAGAGGCCCAGGTGGCAAGGGGGACGTGTGGTTTGCAGAGCTTCAGCTCCGGCATCAGAAAGCAGAGCACAGAAGGATCCTTCTGCACGACCCGCAGAGTTGTGAGCTGGGCTCGGAGGGTGGGCTGCAGGTGTGGCAGGACCTGGGAACGTCATGGGACAGTGGCTTGCACTGGGTTATGTTATATGGCAAGTAGTGATGGGATATAGGCCCTCCTCGGAGTGCGGTGCAGCTGTACAGACTCTGTCGTGGCCAACTGGAGAGGGACTAGAAATCAGAGAGGTGCCCCGTGGGCCCAGAAGAAGGAAGCATCCATGGGGTGAGCTGCCTACAGGGACCATGTAGCAAGGACCTGGGGGCAGCCTACAGGACCTGAGACTGGCCAACAGCTAGAAAAAACACAAGGGCCTCAGTTTCTCAAAGGCAACCTGACAACACCTTGAATGAACGAACTTAGAAGAAGAGACTCTGAGCTCCCGAAGAGAATCACAGCGGGGCTGACACCTTGAGAGCAGCCTTGCAAGATCCTGAGCAGAAGGTCTAGTTCCGCCCAGACACTGGGCGCGTGGAAAATGCGGAGCCCTAAATGAGTGGCATTCTAAGGCACTGAGCTGGCTGTTAGGGAACAGATGCAGGTGGGTCTGGAGCTGAAAGACAATAATGTCGTAACCCGCAGGCCTCTCTAATGTGTAGCCAAAGAACGAACAACCACCACAGAAAATGATCTCAGATGATAACCTGAGCAGAGCTGGCTGACTCAGGGTGACTGGGAGCTGCTCTGGGGACACTCAGAAGGTAAAAACCGGTGAAATGTAAACACTTGGCTTGTGGTGCCAAGATACTAGAGATGGAAGTGGAGTTTCGCAGAGCAGAGCTGCCCAGGAGGAAGGGTAAATCCGCCCAAGTGTGGGGTGCAGAGATGGTGTGAGGCTCCCTGACCGGGCAACTCGGAGGATAACTGCTCATTTTAAGGTTTCTTACGGTAGAGCTGGAAAGGACGGTAAACACTAGCAGAGTGGACGACTCTTTTCCAGTTGAAGCTTATCCAATCTCTCAGGAAAAAATTGTGTACGAATCCCCACAACGTCCAAGTTATATTAACATCAATGCCCGATTTAGCAAATGCTTCTGAAGGGGAGAGGAAGTGGAAAGAACAGGAGAGGACGTCTTTGGGCCCCCATGCTGATGTGACACCTGTGACAAGAGGAAGGAAGGAAGAAGGTTGGGGCAGGTGGCGTTTCAGGCTGCAGGGTGGCTCTTAGTGTTAGCTGGGCTGCTGGGCAGCTCCCGAGCAGACACTGTGTCAGGGGAGTCCTGAGTTGTAAAGACCCAACTCTATTGTCTCAGCTATGATCAATCATTGGCTGATAGCAGCCTGAGGAGAAGGTGGCTTCAGGTGACAATTCCAGCTGATTGGAAGATGTGGAAGCTGGAGCTTGTCTGCCCAATTACCTCCATCCCAGCAGGTTCTCTTCAAGGGACATCAGAGCAGAAGACTTCCATGGCTAACACAAATACCGTTTGTATCTTTGTGAAAATAATTTAACACCCAGGTTCCTTCCCATGGGAGGACTAAGATAGCTGGTGACAGAGTTCCGAATGGAACTGATGCCCGTGATTTGGGACAAAAGATCCTCTAGAAGGGAAACACACATCTGACTTTGACTAGTGGACTTTTCTGGAAAGAAGGGCATGTTAGGTTCCATATTGATGATTCAGACCACACAGTGGGGGGTAGCAGAGCAAGGGTCTTAACCCATCTGGTAAAAACTGAATTAAAAATTAGAGCCAAGAGCAAATGTCTATTTTTAGTTCAGTCAAATAAATAGAATTTGCTCTTGATATTGCTTGGGTTTCTAATAAGCTGAAGCAGAAAAGCCTGCTGACGCAATAAATTTTCACCACCAAGCTAAAATGCAGCTGCCCTGAGACCAGAGTGATCAGTCCTTTCTGACCTTAAGAAAAGAAGTAAGTCATGATCCTGTTCTCAGACTGGTGAGCCAATCTGGAGGAAAATTAAGTAAACAGCTGTGGCTTTAAGTGACACATTGCAAATCTCGGAAAATGAAAAAAATTACCATTTCTCCAGTTTTACTTTTACCAAAAAATCATTTTCCAGGGATTCTATAGCTATCCAGAGTGCTTAAAATAATCTTTTCTTTCTGATTCTTTCGAATAGGTGTTTCTCCTTAATTGTTCTACTTTGATTTACTCCATATGGTACTTTAATTTGTGCGTGTGTGCATTGGTGCGTGTGTAGGTACAGCTTATCAAATTAAATACAATAGTACTGAAGCTTTTCTTTAATATTTTAACCTCACACAACATAGAGGTGTACAAGCTAAAGCTTTTAAAGCTTCCTTCCCATGCCCAACATCTAATACTTTTCAAGACATGTGGCGTTTAAAACAAGTAAAAACAAAACTCTTAAAAACAAAAATCTATGGATATACTTACAGCTTTAAATCTGGTTCTATGTTTAGTTTGTGAAACAAAGGTAAAAATTTTTAAAGAGTCATCAATTATATAATTTTAAAATAAAGCATTCCATTTTCATTAAATAATGGTTGGGGCGCCTGGCTGGCTCAGTCAGTGGAGCATGCAACTCTTGATCTTGGGATTGTGAGGTAGAGGCCTACCTTGGGCATGGAGCTAGTAATGGTTATCTGCATATATGCTCTATCTCACATTAATGTTATTCCCACGTGATTGTACACCGGTCTGGGAACCGACCAGAAACTGGGGTGCCATAATTTGTGTGGTAAAAGCTATAGAATGAGCTCATGTGTTCAAGATATGGGGAGGGGGCCAGCGCGGTTGGATGGAATGAACAAGGAGGTGAGTGGTAGGAGACAGCATCACAAAGGTGAAGAGGGTTTAAACTCTCCAGGAAATTATCATGATTTGAACCACTGGATCAGGATTCTCCTAAAGGCAGAACTACCTCTGGAGCATTACTTGAACATCTTGGCTCTAAAACTAGGCATTATTCCTCTGTTTCATAGAAAAGACAACTGTGGGGCAAAAGAGAGACATAACATAGATGCAAAAGAAAGAAAGATGGGTTAATTATAAAAGAGAATATATAAAACAGTTATTAAAACATTTGGAAGGAATATGCAAAATGCTGTTGTGACATTTTACTCTGAATTAAAGAAGTCAATGCAGCACAAATCTGAGGAAGGCAAACTGTTATGTATTTATTCATTTTTTAAAAAACATCAAACTTTTTGCTTCCATATTTTGGGATAGCAGCAATTAAAAGGGGCTACTGATAAATCTTTGCAATTCCTATGTTGTTCGGGTTGCTGA